AAGTCATACTCCATACCTAATTTTGTTAGTCTGAGTCTTGTTGCGATTCTCGTGAGCCAACTCCGATGCTTTTAATACGTGTTTGGCACTTTTGATGGATCCAAAGTCAGCCGTTTGCCCCTTGAATAATAGGTTGTTTAGTAGACAAAGCAACTAGGATGGTATCTAGTGGACGAGACGTCGCATTCCTCTTTTTCGTCTTTCTTATAGTTGAACGCAAGGGGGAAAAGGGGATTTCCAAGATTCCGGATCCCTGAGAATACAATGGGAATGCTTGAAATCCCGGAAGTACGATGTATCTTATAGGGGTATTCACAAGTCCACATGGGCTCTCTTATGGAGGTACCCATAAGTCCTCATGAGCTATCCTATGGGAGTACTATAAGCAAGGGGAAACAGCAGACTTCCGTACTCCACGAGTCCCTGGAAGTCCCTAGGAGTTCCAAGGACTCCCAAGAAATCTCAAAGAGTTCCAAGGAGTCCCATAAAATACAGGAGCGCAGCTCTTTACACATTAGTTTCTTTTCATTAGTGTTTAACCTTTGACCTTTAACCTTTGATCTGAACAGTCAAACCAGTATGATGCATGTAGGTACTACTACTTCGGATTATGTCAAAGTAGCAAGAAGACCCAAAGGAGTTCCAAGGAAATTCCGGGAAGTCCTAGGCAGTCTCATAAAGTCCCTCGAAATTCGAAGAAATCTCATGAAATCCTGGGAAGCTCAGGAGTCCGCGGAAGTCCCAAGGGGTCCCTGGGAGTTTCGAGGAATCCATAGGAGTACGAAATCTGGGAGTCTGTTGTTTTCTTCTTGCGTGTGAGTGGCGTTCTTATCACAGTTTGCGTTCCTACCTAGAAGCTCTTGAAAATCTATGACGATTAATGCTAGATATCTCTTTAACAGTTAGCGGTATCCGACATCCCTCCACGAAATAATGCTTGAAGAGTAACTGGAACTACCGCAAGATAGTGCTTGAAAATTTAACAATACTCAACATCAATAGTCCTTGGTGAATTATGAGTACCTTCATAGGATAGGCCATGAAGATTTATGATACCCCCAAAAGATAGGTCATAAGAACTTATGGGTACTCCATAGGATAGGCGATGGGAACTTATGGGTGCCCCCAAAGCATAGATCATGAGGACATGAGTATCCCATTCAAGAAGGAATAGGAATATTTAAAGTGGTTGACAAAGGTACCTGTGATACGGTCTCCTACATAAGAATTGTATCTCACAGATTCCTTGTACTTCGGTGTACTCCCAGAGTCCAGAGAGTACAATGGGAGTATGGAAGTACAATGGGACCACGTGAGTACGTGTTTTCCTCCTTGCTGGGCTCTCATGTACTCCCATTGTACTCCCGAAGTTCAGGGAGTACAACGGAAGTACGGGAGTACAGCGGAGTATAGAGAGTACTGGAGTACATGGTTTTCTCCTTGAGAAATAGGAATATTTAAAGTGGTTGACGAAGGTACCGATGATACGGTCTCCTACATAAGAATTGTATCTCACAGACTCCTTGTACTTCTGTGTACTTCCGGAGTCCAGAGAGTACAGTGGAACTACGGGAGTACAGCGGAGTACATGGAGTACGGGAGTACGTGATTTCTCCCTTGCTTTCACGTTACAGTGTTAAAGTGTTAAAGTATGTTACTTTAACTTTGGCTTTAACGTTAAAGTTAAAGTTAAACTCCCATCCCTATGTTGGCCTCCCTGTACTCCCGAAGTCCAGGGAGTACAATGGGAGTACGGGAGTACAATGAGAGTACGGGAGTATGGGAGTACGTGTTTTCCCCCTTAATAAAGGGTGTTCCATAATAACTGAGGATAAATTGTTAATGATATTTTTCATACTTTTTCTTGACGTAGAGGGCTGAAATTTTTATCACATATATATCTAATCAAGATCTTCTATTTCTGAAATTTTCAGCTATCTAGCTATAACTAGTGGTGAAATACATCGACAACACTGAAATACATAAATTTTCGAAATTGATTTTTCAATATTTTTTATTGTGAAAATCTTGCAGGATGCTACCATGAGTAGTCAACCAAAAAATCACACAGTATTCAGAAAACTTTCTTTCGTATCAGAGTTTGTAGAGCTTTTCCGCTGATCATTTTGCTAAAAAAGAAGTTTTCCAATTTCATTGAGAAATGACGATTTTATAGACAAAATACTAAACACTGTAAAATAGGTTAAAATGTAATGAAAAGTCGATTCGCATATCACAAGTTGGCTATATTTTGGGGAAATCTGACGCACTAGGTTTTGTAGAGGAAATCTTGCTCTACAAAATCCTATAGTCCGTTTCTAAAATATAGGCTAATAGGATGAATAATTCTCGATCAAACATTGGATAGGATATTTCTATCCAAACAAATCTGACATCTTCTGTTTTATGCGATAAATATTTTGACTATAACATCGTTATTTCTCGATGAAATTAGAAAATTATTTTTACCAAAATGATCAGCGGAAAAAGCTCTACAAACTCCGATATGAAAGAAAATTTTCTGAATACTTTGGAAGTTTTTGGTTAACACCCATGGAACTGCCCTGCTATGTCGAATACAAAAATTTATGTATTTCACCACTAGTTATAGCTAGATAGGTAAAAATTTCAGAAATAGAAGATCTTGTTTAGATATATAAAGGGTGTTCCATAATAACAGACGATAAATTGTTATTCATATTTTTCATACTTTTTCTTGACATAGAGGGCTGAAATTTTTATCACATATATATCTAATGAAGATCTTCTGTTTCTGAAAGTTTCAGGTCTCTAGCTACAACTACTGGTGAAATACATCAACAACATTCAAATATATAAATTTTCGAAATCGATTTTTCAATACTTTTTATTGTGAAAATGTTGCAGGATATTTCCATGAGTAGTTAACCAAAAAATCACAAACTGTTCAGAAATTTTGTTTTCGTATCAGAATTCGTAGAGCTTTTCCCGCTGATCATTTTGGTAAAAAAACTTTTCCAATTTCATTGAGAAATGACGATTTTATAGACAAAATACTAAACTTTTTAAAATAGGTTAAAGCGTAAGGAAGTCGATTCGTATATCTCAAAATGCGGCTATATTCTGGAGAAATGTGACTTAGTAGGTTTTGTAGAGGAAATCTCGCTCTACAAGATCCTATAGTCCGTTTCTGAAATATAAGCAAATAGGATGAATAATTCTCGATTGAACATTGTATGCGATATTTCTATGAAAAAAATCTGACATCTTCTATTTTTTGCGATAAATGTTTTGACTATAACATCGTCATTTCTCAATGAAATTCGAAACATGTTTTTACCAAAATGATCAGCAGAAAAAGCTCTACAAATTCTGATATGAAAGAAAATTTTCTGAATACTTTGTGAGTTTTTGGTTAACTACCTTTGTAACTGCCCCGCTAGGTCGATTACGAAAATTCATGTATTCAAATGTTGTCGATGTATTTCACCAGTAGTTATAGCTAGAGACCTGAAACTTTCAGAAACAGAAGATCTTCATTAGATATATATGTGATAAAAATTTCAGTCCTCTATGTCAAGAAAAAGTATGAAAAATATGAATAACGATTTATCGTCAGTTATTATGGAACACCCTTTATGTGATAAAAATTTCAGCTCTCTACGTTAAGAAAAAGTATGAAAAATATCATTAACAATTTATCCTCAGTTATTATGGATACCCTTTATATATTTTACTCATCAAATATAATTCACATATTCATTTTAGTCAAATTTATAATATTCAAGCAACGCAATAATAAGCAATTGTACTAAACAGTTCGAGATTTTACATTTTATTGTTGTGAAAAAATTTAGTTTGAAAGTTGTCAGAACAAGATTGAATTATCTACGGGCAAGCTGAACTGTGTGAAATATTCGCCTTATTTAAATGGAACATTTTGTATATACTAATCAATTGAAAATAATTACAGCAATAGGGGAAAAAAAATTTTGATTAAATAAATATTCTCCAAGAATTTTAAATTCAATTCAGAATTTTTGTAACGGATATGATGGAGTATACTCTGATCAGTAGTTTATAGGCTATTACACAGAGTTGGATGGGTTTGAATTCATTTTTGTTCAACCAAATGATTATAATTGAATTAGAATCTGCAGTCTTGGCAAGAAAATTGAATTTGATGAGAATAAATATCTATTTCGCGATCAATACACGATTCACATCAAAGTTTCGAATGCAACAGAAACGTAGAATTTACATAGGATACTTTAGGTTCAGATTTGTTCTTTTTTTTAGGGTCGATTCGTACAGGAAAACGTTCTAACACTCCTTCTAAATGTACCAAGTAGAAGTCAACGAGATCTATCAGATGGTTAAAAAAAATCTTCAGCTTTCAGACCCAATTAGCAATGTGACGTACGCAACTAGTAAAGTGGAAATTTTATGACAATGAGAAATATTATTTAGTTGCGATTTTCATCAACTGATAGAGCTTTCTACTTGGTACATGATTTATATTTGTTGGAAGGTTTTGATCGATCAATTGGCTCAGAAAATACTAGAGAACAGAGCAAATATGGGGTGACAAAATAGCGATATCTTGAAAACAGAGAATGTAATCCAGATCGACTTTTGACCATTTGAGAAACCTCATCAAGTTCTTCTTGGAACATGTTAGTTATCGAATCAACCCAAAAATGACTGTTTGTGTAAATTGATTCAATGAGCGAAAAACAGGTATTTGAAGATTTTCTTTGTAAATAGAAGATATATCGAAGAACAGTGTTCACCATGTAATAGAGCTTTTGAAGGTGTAATTGGAGCATATGGAAGGAGTATTGAAACAGTTGCCCGAACAAATCGACTCTAATACAGGTCGAAACTGGGCTTAACCTACTATGCGTGAAAATTTGAAGTTTCATATGTTATCGAATGGGTCATAACTTTTCTATAATCTTCAATGCGTTCTGTGAAGATATCATATACTCTTTTCCATTATATATTTAGTTCTATTCTAGATGAGTAAATCTAACTCCACTTCGGAGCCATTGTTTCCATCAAGCTATCCAGAGTACGTATACAATTTCGCGTATGGCGCCAACTTGCAACCTAAAGTTTTAAGTGGTCGACGAAAAATTCAGCCGATAGAATCTATTCCAGGAATATTGGAAGGATGGCAGTTGATGTTTGACTTACGTGGCATTCCTGCAGTTGAACCATGTTTTGGGAATATTAAAGAAAATCCTGATGCTGAAATTCATGGAGTCTTACATAAGATGACCAGTAAAGAATTTAAACATTTATTGGCAACTGAAGGGGGAAGTGGAGTAGATAAAAATGGATATATACCGAAAAAAGTCAATGTGCATGCATACGATGGTCGTATAATTGAAGCTTATGTATTAGTAGTTCAACAGACAAGTTCAGCCATATTTTATCACCATGCATTACCAAGCAACCGTTATATAGGTCTTCTACGTAGTGGTGCAATCCATCATAAAATTCATCCATTATATATAGAATATTTACAATCTCTACCTTCGATCGAACATAAAAAACCTGTCATGCTGCTAATTATTATTGAAATACTAATACTAATTATGTTGTTTGCGCCATTTTGGATACCTGTAATAATTTATTATTTATGCACGCGTCAAACGGCACATGCTCGAGCATTTTTTTTTACACTAATCGTAACTAATTTATGGTGCATCTATCGTCTATTGGGCAGAAAAAGTGCTCTTCAACCGTATTATTCTGCTCCGTTTCCTCGAGGAAGTACACGTTTCAAAGAGAACACAGAAACATTCCGTGATGAAGTTCAAACTGATGAGCAAACTTTACCAGATACTGTATCAGACATCTCATCAGAATCAATTTTATCACCAACGTCGAGCCCACTAATCAAACAACGAAAGACTAATCAAAGTGTGCTCGAAGAAGTCCAACAATAGTTAGATGAATGACAAAAGTACTGCCTAGATCAATGATATCAATGTTAACTTGCTACACTTCAAGAACATAGACTGATTTGATTCTTTTTTATCAAAATGCAAATGCTTTTGATTTTTCTTTGCTAGAAGATGTCCGACAGTGAAATTTTCACTTCAGTAATTAAGAAAATTTAATGATAAAAAAAAACTCTGTTTGAATTGACTCTCCTGTGACTTTAATCATCATAAAATTAGAAAAGTAATAGAAAACAATATGATTTACTGCTCGATTTGACTAAGATTCTCAATTTAGATATTTCAAGAAGTTCGAGTTTCTGAACTGACATGTTAGTTCAATGAATTAACAAACAATATACTTTGATCTTTTCACTTGATACTTCCTCAAAATCATAATCACTGAATAAAACACTAACATAAGAATTGATCTTTCAAAAGAAGCAAAATAGTTTTTTTTCTCTGAAAAATCCATAATACTAATGAATAAAAATTAATACAAATATTTATTCTCCTACGTCTTTTGTATGATTTATTAAAATAGAATTACTCGTTGCGGTATCTTGCTACAATAAATCATAAGTATAAGAAGCAAAAAAATAAAATAAATATTCAATTGCACAATTATGACCGAGAAACAGCACAAAAACGATTAACAAAGTTATTTTTTCTAGAAACCAGCTATCTAGAATTTTGACATATATTACAAAATATTTGAGGAGTTCGTCATCATTTGCTCTTTCAGAATTTCGGAAAAATATTTGAAAAAAAGAAATTTTTGAAGTAAAAACTCAAGCAAGCCATAAAGAACTTTTTTCTGACAAGTCCACACTATTGTTTGTTTATGATTGAAAATAATACGAAGATCTTCTTTATTTAGTTGAAATGTTAGATCGTTTTATTAAGGATTAAAGTCGGTGTCCGAAAATAATATGATGAATCTTTCATAGAATGCGTCTGACTTTTGAAATCACATTTCGAAAGTGTATCCGAAGAAATGTCGCCAAATATTAGTTTCAAGGTATTTGTACATGAACGACATTATCAAAAGCCTAAACAAATGGTCTTAAAGTCATATTTTATACACTTCTCTGTGTATTGATGATAAATAATTGGCATTTACTGTCGAATTTGATTGACAAAGGCTTGGACGAATCCTTAGATACACACAGAAAATGACAGACAATCGCAGCTGAGTAGTAGAGCGACTATTAGCCTTTTTTAATACTTGCCAACAAGTCCAATTTATTAGAAAAGTCAAGTCAACTATATCGTAGAAAGAAAAATTCTCTATCGAATGAGCTTAAAATGAACTTTTTAAACTGTACTTTTGGTCTTCATAAAAACGATTGAAATATCTGATTTTTTTAATGGGTCATCAGCAATAAAATTTAACATAAAATGTATTTGATCTATAACACATTTTGGAAAAATGACACTGGATAGAAAAAAAAAGAGTTTCACGAGACCAATAGGTTTGTTCTATTTTATCCTATGATATTAATTTAATAGTGTAATTCCATCCGATTCAATTGAATTCTATGAAATAATTCGTCTAATAAGAAAGCTTTTTCAAAATTTTACTTAACTTTCATGACTTATGACATTATTGAGCAATATCTTCTGACACTTTTCATTTATTTTCTTTGATATACATCTGAAAAGAAAGATCTTTTATCAATAATATCCTTTCAATGCTAGATTTCTAAGCATATAATGTTTACTAATGAAACAATATTCATAAAAAACAAAGGATATACTATTTTACAGTAATAATAATATCTCGATATGCTTATAAGAAATGAAATTAAGTTATAAAAAAAAGGAAACTGCATGATAGCAGTGTAACAAGAGTCCATTCATAAAAAGTACTATCATGATCATGAATATATGATTACATCCTGAATATACTCATACAATATTATTTAGTCGAAAATATGTCTTCTTATAGTTGTGTCAGACTATTTCAAAATATTCTCGTGCATCCTAACTAGTCTAAACTGCTTGTGTGACAGTTATTTGTTATTGGTACATAAATAACTAGTGGACTAATTATACCTTACAATCGAGTTCATATAGGCTTAATAATGTGAATGATCATGCATTGTCTTAATATAAATTCGATAAAACATGAAATTTGTTCTGTATCATCGATGTCTGTGGTAAAATTTAAACAGTGAGATGACATTGAAGTTGATATTTCACACAATTTATTATTGGATATTGATGAAAAAAGTAAAATATATTGCTATTGTTAACTTGAAGAAGATTTATTGAAATTTTTTCATTTAATATAGTTCATCTCAAAAGAAAATAAAAACTATTATAATTTAAACTAGAGTCCTGCACGGGTACTACTTTTCGCACCCGGACCCGGCCCGGCTCATTTTTTTCAAACCCGGAATCCGACCGGACCCGGTCATCTTCCACCCGGAACCGAACCGGACCCGGATAGCTCTACCCGGTACCCGACCGGACCCGGCCCAGCCTTGAAATACTCAGCACTTGATTGTTATTGTCAAAATTATATTCACTTTTCAAACTTTTATTTCATATGGCAAAATATACTATTATTTTAATTTCATCAAGTAACAATTTGTACCCGGACCACAGTTCCGGGTTCGATCGGGTGCCGGGTATCCGGCCCCGTTGCAGGACTCTATCCTAGAGTGTAAAATACTTTTACTTGTTAAGATGTCATCGACTACCGGTCGGGTACCGGGTATGCTAAAATCCTGCACCCGATCCGGCATTTTTTTTTATACCCGGCACCCGAATCGACCCGGCAAATTTGTACCCGGACTACAGTTTCGGGTCCGGTCGGGTGCCGGGTACCCGATCCCGTTGCAGGACTCTAATTTAAACTGATTCAGTCTTGTTTTCATAGGTGAAAGTATTTTCAAACAAAAAACATTATTTTCATATAACTTAATGGATACAAATGGAGTCAAATATTGAAATACTAATAACGATTATTCTATGTTATTTCATTGAATTTTTTTTCTTCTTATATTTAAAGAATATTTCGAAAATAGTTTCATCCAAAGATAATGAAATTATTAACCTTATGCATTTACTAATAATATTGAGGAAAGTGTTTATTTATATAAACTCCAATTAGTGAAAGTGTCGTTGTTATCTTGGTTATTTTTGTTTTATTGACAGTGAAAATAATCGTAGCTATTCCAATATTCCGTGCTTACAAATCAAGCATAAAACTAATATCAATAGTAATCATTATTGACAATGAATAAATTTTATTCTTTGACATTCTTACATTAGTTATGATAAATTCCATTGATAAATGACTAGAATGAAAATATATTTAAAACATTTCTATAGTTACTATCATGAAAAATGATGTGATTGAGATTAACATATTTTAAATCAACATTAAAAAAAAAGAAAAAAATCTTTATTTTACGTCTTCAATCAATAGATTTTGTGACACACTTGTCTTGTGTATCAAAGGACTCTGGAACATTAAGAGGCATAGATATAATTAATAATAAACATGATATCTTATGTCGTTTTCTGGAATTTGTCATGTAAATAATGAATAAAATTGATTTGATATTGGATTTAGGATTCAACATTTTTAAGAACTATTTATCAGAGATGATGAATGAATATCAATGTAGTTTTGTTAATCACTCCTTATTAATTCTATGGATAAAAACGGTTTTTCATGCAGATATTATCAAGAATCGAGATAAAAAAAAACGATTTTATTCACTCTAGATGAGATTGCATTCATTAATATGATGACTATAATCGTAAAGAAAATAATATTTGAGTTGATTAGTGTGCATTCACATTTGAATTTCAATGTTGATCAAATGAAACTATGCAAGACCACGTGCAAATAACATTTTTTATATTTATAAATTTTATTCGGAATATGTATAAGGATGACACTGAAAAAAAGACGAGAGCAAAAGAGAAGGTTATTGATCTAGTCTTTGCTTTATTTTATTTGTGTAGAGATAGATCATCTAATGTCAATGTTTTGTTATTTAGTGTGAGTAAACACACAGAGAAAACAGGCTTTATTTCATTGTTAACCAAGTTGTAAGTTAGTTCCTTTTTCTTTTTACATAGATTTTTAGAGAAAGAAAAATAATTGTTGTCTTAATTTAATGTAGAAAATTTGTTTTGAATAAAATTAATTAGTCTTCAAATAGTTTATGACATAAGTATGAAATTCTTAAATAGCAATCAGTAATGTGCGCTTTTCTCACCATTGAAAAAAAAGAACACTAGTGATATATAATATGTTTAGCTTCTTTTGTTAATATATTCAGCTAAGATCTACTTACCTAAATAACATCAAAGAAAAGCACTATTAAATAGAATCAATATCAAATTTTAGTTTTTATTTACTAATCAAACGTTTGTTTTTTTGCAGATCGATTCCATTTACTAATATGTCCCATGAATATAATGCTGAAGGTTAACATCTTATCTAGATAAGAATATCTCAAACGAAGTCGTTGCTTGATGCTGTTTTGATAATGTCTGCATTTTATTTATTAAAAACAGTTTCATTTTAAAACTTCTAACATTATTCTATCCACAAATAAATCAATAGGAGCCTAACAAGAATAATATAAAATAGATTTCGATCAATAGATATAACAGTAATAAGTGTAACTATTATTCTGCTTTGTTAATATTCTAATTGAATACATTACATATTGAAGCTTAAAATATTATTTCTTATCACAAAAGTACTTTAAATAACAATATTAATTCCTCAATCCTGAAAATCTTTTTGTTTTATATTTATACTTAATGGACTTTGCTCTTACAAAAACAATGATGAAGTGAATAGGATATTATATATTGTTAAGATATTGATTTTTATACTTTTCTTCAGATTTTTGAATTGTTCATTAATTAAAAAAGAAATAAAATCAATAATATTTTTCTACAATACGAAGAATTGTAAAAGCAAAAGAGTTGTTTCAACAGGATACTACTATCGAACTCAATCATATTCAACAGGTATTTTTTTTTTCATGAAAAAACTAGATATCCAGACTTATTTCGACCTGCTACAGAAAAAATTCGATCCGACAAAAACGATATGAACTTTTGAAAAGAAGAATCTCAAATCATTTACAGCTATTGCACTATCAATATATTTGAGAATGAAACATTATCAGTCTATGATAAATTTCGTTATACATTCATCATAATTAAATCGATCTACTTGTAATGTTTGATTCATTTTTGCAAAAGCATTCTTTAGTAAGCTCGGAAAAATAGAAGTTCTGAAAATAATTTATAAAAAGTATCGACTATAAGTAGAATATTAGTTTTTGACATATGGGGAATTTATTGTCTGAGTTACTTAGTTTAGCAATGTAACTTAATCCAAAATAAAATTGAAAAAGAAATATCAACACGACATTTTTTTTTTCAATAAGAATAGTAACTGATATCTATTGATATGTTACTCATAATTTATTATTAAAATAAATAAATATAAATAAGTAGTGTTCTTCAATAAATAAATATTCTTATCAGTTTATTCATTTTATTAAAAATAAATAAAACATAGATAATGAAACATTATTTTTTATTCTTTTAGTTTATTCAAAGTAAAGGACGAAAAGTGAAACAAAATTGATATCACGTTTTAGGGGTGTGGGTATGGGTGTGTGGGTGTGGTTGTGTCGGTGTGGGTGAGTATGGATGGGTGTGGGGTGTGGGTGTGGCGTATGAGTGTGAGTGTGGGTATTTCTTCAATGATACCCAGACTCTGCACCCACCCACACCCACACTTCATATCCA